CTCCTGCCCCTGCTGGAGCTCCTGAGGGGACAGACGGTACACACACAGTCAGAGCTGTGCTTCTGCGGGCCTCCTGGAGCAGGTGAGCTGGAAGTGGACCTGAAGAGCAGACACGAGGAAGTCTGGAACCCAGTGGGCAAGGCAGGGAGTAAGACCAGAGAGGTGACGAGCAGTCAGCCCCTGGGCGATTAGGACAGGTGGAAATGACGTGGAGTTAGGTAGGCATCTAGTTCAGGGTCACGGTATTGGAAGTTACACTTCCCCTGACTGTGTAAACCCTGCTGCCCATCAGGGAGTCAAAAGACACTCACCCACCGTTACCTGGGATCTGAGGGTGTTGGTGGTGGTATTGTGTAACCACTTCCCTTTCAAAGCCCTTAGAAGCCCAGGCCGAGGAGGGGTTGGTTGTCTTGGTCTCTGACAACCTCGCTGGTTCTCTACAAAGGGACTTGGAGAACTGAAGGAAGCCAATTGTCTTACCCTTTCCCTTCCTGGCCCACTCTGCCTGAACATGGTCTGTGAACCTTACCACTTCCTGAATGAACTTTACCGCTTTCTTAAGCTGTGTCAGGGCCTGAGCTTAAAATTCTTGTTAAGTAAGAGGCAAGAACCTAGGCACGAAAGGTATTAGACCCAAACCTGGACCCCAGCGAAAGGACTGGGGGCAGGAGTGTGAAAGGATCGCACCTGCAGATTGCAAGCTACCCTGACTGCCGGGTGTCTGGGGGCGGGGGGGAGAGGCCAGGTAGTAGGCTGTCGTGCTAATCCGGGTCGCAGGTGGTGGCCCTGGCCCTGTGTGGCAGCAGCTTCTGGATGTGTGTCCCTAGTGTGTGACTTCCTGGATGGCGCCCGGGTGTCCCTCTGTGCGGCTGGAAGCTGGGTCTGCTCTTCCTCAGGAGATGGGAGTCAGGGGAGCTACAGGACACGGGAGCAGGTATGCGGGTGCTGCGCAGATACTGAAAGTTACGACTGGTATGAAACGCACCCCCCTCCAACACACACAGACACACACGCACACACACACGAGAGAGAGAGAGAGAGAGAGAGAGAGAGAGAGAGAGAGAGAGAGAGAGAGAGAGACGATGGATGAGCAAAGGAGCCTAAGAAGTTAGGAACAAGAAGTTAGAACTTGGGGGGTGGGGAGGGGGTGGCTCCTGGAAGCCAAGACGAAAGAAATTTGCGTCTGAGAGCCGCAAGTGCCCTGCACACCTAGGCCTGAAGAGGGGACCCCTGGCTCTTGCCAAGTAGCCGGGCACTCCACCTGCTTGAAAAGGAGGGAAGCACGGAAGGAACCGAGGTCGGGACCCTGCCCAGGCAGCTCCAGGCAGCTCCAGGCAGCAGCGCTTGGATTTCAACTCCAGGTGGCCGCTTGGCAGACATGCCCCCTCTGGCGGGCAAGTCGAGCAAGGCCGCTCCAGGAGGGCACTGTCAGCACCCCAGGGTGGGCTCTGGAAGGCATTCCCCGTGCCAGCCTCAAGCCGCCGGTGCCTCCTTGGCTGCCAACTCATTAGCGGGCACAGGGAGTTGGTGGTGCCTGCCCTATAGCCTCGCGCTCCAGGCTGCGTGCATTTCCACAAGCAGCAAGGAGAGAGAGAGAGAGAGAGAGAGAGAGAGAGAAGGCCTCCGTCTGGCCCAAATCGGGGACCTTCTGATTCTGCCATCACCCACAGGTCTCCGCCACCTTTACAAAGCCTTCCTGCACTCAGGGTCAAGACCACAGGGCTGGCTCTCCGGGAGGTGTGGAGGGGGCAGGCTGATGGTCACGTGTCTCCCCCTGGTGTCAGCTGTTCTCATTGCAGCCTGGGGAGCTGGGAAATGGTGGTTTCCAAATTGCCCTCCTGCCTGCAGTTATGCGTGGCAGGTGGACTTGGGGTTCCAGGCCTTCAGAAGTGGTTCTACCTTCCCGGCATAGCGGGAAAAATGGTTTCTCCTCACTCCGCCTGGGGTCCCTAGAGCATGTGCCACTCATTCACTCACTTGCTGGAAGTTCTTTAACGCCAGCAGACTCAGGGTTATTCAGAAGGGGCTGCAGCTATAAGAAACATGATCCACTTCCACCCAAGACAGAAGCAAAACAAACGACGCCCCTCTGTTTAGAGGCCAGGGGACATTTAACATGCTCAGAAAAAGGAAAGAGAAGGTGAGCCAGGGATGACCTGGGGCTGGTGTCGGGGGCAGCCCAGAAGTCCACGCGCAGGAAGGGTGTGGGCGGGGGCAGAGGTCAAGGTGTGGAGGAGGGACCATCCTTGGTGATCATGCAGGTGCCATCCCATGCCCACAGCACCCCTCCTGCCAGGGCCTTGGGACTTGCTGGGGTCTGGGTTGGGAGGTCTTTCTAGGCATACGTGGCAATAGTGACTTGGGTGACACTGCTGTTGCTATCGCAGCAGCCAGGTGCTGACCCCAGCCAGGACTCCAACGCTTCTCTTTCCCCCATCAGACCCTACGCCTCCCTTCTCCTGGTCACCACACAGCCAGCCTGTCCCTCCCACCTTCATCCATCTCTCTCTCTCTCTCCCTCTCTCTCTCTCCAAGGAGGCCCCAGCCACTCCATCCCTAGCAACAGCCATCTGACATCCCATGGACAGTGCCTGCCCTACTGGAGTCCTGCCTGAAAGCTCTTTGCTGGGAACGTGCCGGCAAAGGCCAAGGGTGTCAGAGCTGGGGCGACCTGGGGCTGTGGTTTCCTCACTCTGCATCTGGCCCGACTGGTTCCCTCCACGGTCACTGCCCTTGGCTTTGCCACCACACATCCTGCCCCCTCTTGCTGAGAACTGGCACCTTGATGCTTCTCTGTCACCCTCTTCTGTTCTTGGTCCCTGTGGATTCAACAGGATTGCCCAGCGCCGCTGTTTGCAACCAAGCAGCGCTCAATGCCTGTGACTTCTTCAGGGGTGGTTAAGGGTCAGTCTGTTCTCACTGACACGGATAAGTGGGTTGTGCACAAATCTGAGGCCAGTGGGGTCATCTCTGTCCCCACCCCCCAAGGGAAGAGTCTATTTACAAACAGAACAACTCAGGCGGGGATGGGAGTAGGGTGAGGGAGACAGACACGCTTTGGAGTGCCTGGCCCCAGCTTTCAATTGTGTCAACCCATAAGCTCGCCCCTGCTTTTCTGACTCAAGCAGGTTCGAGCAGGCTTCCTCGTTTGCCGCGAGAGGACCTAGCCATAGAAATCCTCCATCTGCAATGTGTGACTAAATGAACTCAGTAAACCAACACAAGCCTGGAGTCCAGCACACAGTCGCACTCCAGGAATGGCAGCTTCTGTGGCTTTGCCTGCTTTCTCATACGTCTGTTAAGTTTCCCTACACGACAGCACCATAGTTTATAGAACACTAGAATAATTTTTTGTTGTTCAGACAAACTTTTGCTGTTGCTTCAGACAAACTTCCCTTGGTAAAACCTGATTCCTCCCAGGTGGTCCGTGACCACAGCTCTGGGTCCCTAAACCATTGCTGTGTTCCAGTCCAGCCCTCTTCCTGCGCCCCCACCCTCTTGCGCTGAGACAGCTGGCCTTGCCAACAGGCTGAGTGCAGGACTTAGAGGAGCACTAGCTCAGTGTTACCTGCCCACACCTCAGGGCAATCAGTTCAGAACTGGCAGCCAATCTGTACCCCCTGGGAAAGTCTCCACTGCCATCTAGTGGCTGGCTGCAGCACTACAGCATGCTGAATGGATCGGGCTCCCGGGACCACCGGGTCAGCCCCCAACTGTGAAAAACTCTAGCCCCACCGCTTCACTCAGCCAGCACCGAACCCAAGGACAAGTCAGTTCCTGCTAAAGCCAAGGGTCTTGTCCTTAAGAGGAGGGTAGCACATTCATGTCCCCAAGGGACAGGGTTCCTGCCTGCTTCCATGGTTTTCCACGTCCCGTCCTGAGAGTCTCTGCTCCTCTTGGCTGTCCTCAGGGGTGATCCAACAGGTCAGGGGCCTTCAGGAAGAGGGCTGCTGTGTGTGTATACGTGCACGCACATCGGAGCCTGTGCACAATGCATTGCACACGCAGGTGTGCCTAGGTGCACTGCGTGTGTGTGCAGTGATGGATGTGTGTGTGTGTGTGTGTGTGTGTGTGTGTGTACACACACATGTGTAGCAGGAGAGATCTCAAGAGGAAGGAGTGCTCACGCAGTTGCCAACAGGAAAACCACCAAAGCTTGTTAGCATGGGCCTCACAAAGGGCCAGACCTTATTAGAAAAATTGACAGAATCCTAGTAACGAGAAAGAAAAGATTACCCTCCACTTGTGGCCAACATGTGCCTGCCTCCTCCAGAGCCTAGGGCCTGGCTGGGCCTCTGCTACTGGTGGCCAGACCCGATCGGGGACCAGCAGGGCCCTCCCCAGGTGTACCCAGAGGACGAACCCTCTTCCCACCACAGCAAACGCAAGAGATCTTCCTGACTGCCATGGTCCTTCTATCCCCACCCTCCAGCCCCATCACAGTCCTTGTGCCCAGGCAGATGACAGCCCCTTGCCCAAGCACAGTAGGCAGCAGGTCCACCTCCATCACCAATGCCTTGAGGGGCTCAAGCTGTCTGAACCCCCAGACTAAAGCTAGCTTCCCCCAACAGAAAGACACTAAATCACTTTTCATGAAAAGAGTGGTTCCTTGCCGTTGGTATCATGTTAGATGGCTTTGGGAAGAGGAGAGAGCAGGTGCGCTGATGTCATCAAGACGAAGCCTCGGACGGAGCCTGTGACCTCAGAACTATCCTGCTTATTGAGAGGGAGCCCCTCTGCCTTCAAAGAACACACACCGGCTGCCTTCCACTGCACAGCTAGGTCTAGGGCTGCAGGAAGGGTCCTGGCCCCCAAAGTGTCCCCATCTACAACCCTCCCACTTCCCCAGTTCCTCCTGAATCCCACGGGGCCAGGTCAAGGAAGCCACAGCCGTCTGACACCATCAGACCCATCCCACGTGGTCCTGCAGTCACCAGATGGGCAGGCTCAGAGGACACCGAGACCCAGCCACCCTCTCTCGGCGCAGCCCGCTCACTCACGTCCAGGGCCCCGGGGAACTTGACTATGGGCTCTGTCCAGGTGGTGATCTTCTGTCGGAAGTTGTCGCAGTCAGGAATAAACATGCAGCCAATATTCCCCAGCTCAGGGTAGAAAACGCCAAGGCCCCTGGGGAGAGAGGAGGGCGGTCACTGCATGTCAGGGCCTCGGCCTCCTCTCCTGTCAGAAGTGGGGGCACCCATCAGCCTGCCCCTCAGAATCCATGAGAGGAGTGGGGTCATGATCGGCGGGGTCTCAGTGGCCAGGGGGTTAGCTCTCAGCAGCGTTCACCTTCCAGGAAGACATCGAGGCACTTCAAGGGTCCATGGAAAACGGGGATAAAAAGGCCTCTTTTAGCACAAGCAGCAAACACCTTAAATCCATGCATAGCACGGGTCTTTAAGAGGTCCATGAAAAAATGCAGGCATGTCAACAATCGTTTGCACTGAAATAAGCATCTCTCAATTTCACCTTTCCATGAGCCTTTCTACTTTATTTTTGTTTGTTTTACATAAAATCCATCAACCTGCAGCTGCTCACCGTGCCCTACTAGATGCCCAGAGGGTCTGCTGGGAGTTCAATTAGGGGGTGCACTCTGGATGGAGGGGGGCCCTGCCACTGTGGTCCAGGCAAGAGCAAAGGCAGCTTGCTAGTGGAGTCCCACTTTCCCTGCTCGCCATCCAGTCACAGCTGAAGTCCAGCTGCGGGGCAAAGGCCACTGAGCCACCAGCCCTCAGCGAAGGCAGTCCAGGCGCATCGGAATGCTGGCATGCGGGCACTGCAGTCCCACGGGGGTGAAGGGCACAGTCACAGGAGCCAATGCCAGCTGGCTGAGTGCCCCTGCAGCTCGGTGCCCCTACACAGCAACGCCTTCTGGGCTGCATGCTTTGGAAGGAGGAACAGGAAACAAGATGCAAGCTCAGCCTGGCCCGGCCATCTGAAATGGTTATGGTGCAAGCGTCCCCTGGGGTGCATGCCATGGCTCCCAATTCCACACTGTCTGGAGAAGGTTATGAACATGCCAGCCTGCTGTAGGGCCTCTGTGGTGCTGTTAGTATGGCAGTTACAGTTGAGAGGCCTCGGGAGTCAGGATTTCACTCCCTCTGTGCTGCCATTCTGTCTCTGTTTCATGGCATCTAGCCACTCGGTTCCTCTTGGTTTATTTTTTCTGGTTGTTGGGCTCCCACCTGGACAAGTTGGACAACTCTGCTCCAGTAAGGGTTGTCTAATTTGAAAGACAGAGAGAGAGAGAGAATGAATCTTCTGCCTCCTGGTTCCCTCTCCAAATGGCCACAAGCATCGAGCCAGGTTGAAGTCAGGAGCCAGGAACTCTACCTGGGTCTCCCACGTGGGCACAAGGGCCCAAACATTTGGGCCATCCTCCAAGTACTTATCTAAGTGCATTAGTGGAGGCACTGGTACCCACGTGGGATGCCAGTGCTGCAAGGAGGTGGTTTAACTTGCCGTAACACCTGCCCAGGACTGTCTCACGTGCTGTGTCTGTTAGGTTCTTCTGCTGTTTTCATTTTGGTTTCATTCTATCTTTACCAAAAGGAAGCGCTGTCCCTATAGCACCTGAGAGTCCTCCAGGGAGAATCTGGCCTGACCACACAACGTGCAGTTACAGGCCTTTGACGAAGAAACATTCGGTAGCACTGCGTGGCCCAGGTGTATGCTAGATGATGAATGAATGGAGGGGCAAGTTCAACCAGAGACCTCCCCTTGATGCTTTTTAAGAAAATAAATAAAAGATTTATTTATCTTTACTGGAAATGCAGATCAGATTGATGGAAAGAAGGAAAATCTTCCATCTGCTGGTTCACTCCCCAAATGGCTACAATGACTGGTGCTGTGCCAATCTGATGCCAGGAGCCAGGAGCTTCTTCCGGGTCTCCCACGCAGATGCAAGGACCCCAAGGCTTTGGGCAACCCTCCACTGCTTTCCCAGGCCACAAACAGGGACCTGGATGGGAAGTGGAGCAGCTTGGGCACGACCCAGTTCCCATGTGGGATCCCGGAGCTTGTGAGGTGAGGATTCGCCATTGAGCCATTGCGTCAGGCCCTCTCCTTGACCTCTTAAAAGAAGCTGTTACTCCCCATAAATTTCCAGGTGCAGGGCCCGGCGCGGTGGTGCAAGTGGTTAAGGTCCTTGCCTTGCATGCCCAGGATCCCATATGGGCGCCGATTCTAATCCCGGCAGCCCCGCTTCCCTTCCAGCTCCCTGCCTGTGGCCTGGGAAAGCAGTCGAGGACGGCCCAAAGCTTTGGGACCCTGCACCCGCGTGGGAGACCTCGAAGAGGCTCCTGGCTTCCGATCGGCCGTTGCGCTCACTTGGGGAGTGAATCATCGGACGGAAGATCTTCCTCTGTCTCTCCTCTCTGTATATCCGCCTTTCCAATGAAAAAATAATAAAAATAAATCTTAAAAAAAAAAAAAAAATTTCCAAGTGCAAATGACAGCAGGGAACAGGACTCACAGGAATGATACAACAAGCAGCTACAGAAACTGTGCTGCTTTTCTCTCCCATGAGATATGCAAAATGCGTGTCAGATGTGTATGCTGCTATATGTTGTGTCTGCATGGCTAAATAAAAAAGCTGGTAACATGACCAGGTAAGATGAAATATGTTTGTGCCTGGGTTCGCTGACCAGGCAGGATTGCACCCGGTTCGGTTGGGTGTTTATGGTCATCAAGGTATAAATTTGACTTGGGATTGAGTCGAGATGTTCATGGATTGAACAAAAGAATTTCACTTTTGATCATGACAATGCTTGCTCTATACCTTAGCCTTCATAAGCAATCTGTCATTGCTAAAAATGAGTAAACTGGGTAAAAAAAAGAAACAAAATCAAGTCTGTAACAGATCAGGAACAAGACAGAAGCAATTGGTGAAAATGCATTCTTGTGAGGAGGGTTCAGAAGAGCAGTATCTGGGAGGAAAAAATAAAGGCCAACGTTTATAAAATAATTTTTAAAATTGTGTCCTAAGGTAGAAGATCTGAAAGGCTCCAGTCTGGAGAAAAGGAAACACAACAAAAAAGTTGAAGCAAGCTACAGTAGATGTGAGCCGGTCATGGAAGGTTCAAAAGGGACAAATTTTAAAAGATGTTGCATGTGACAGGACTGGCCTTACGTTTTAAAATATCACCACCAGGTTTTCTAAAAATCGAGCATCAATATCAAAGATGCAGCGACTAAATGAGAAACCGGTCCGTGGTTAAAGCAGCAAGGTTTCCTCTCGGTAGGAGAATTTGCAGGAAGTTCTGACCTTTTAATCTGTCTTTTTTTTTTCTTGGATTCCTTTGACCATTTCTGGTCTATAGTTTCCCATTTTTACAGTGCTGATTCTATTTGTAGACTCTGCAGTCAATTCCTGCAAGCTCTTTCCCTCCCCGACTCTGACTGCCCAAAGACTGGACACGGTAAATGTTGACCTCAAAAGCTCAGGTGGACATACAGCTTGATGCCTTCCTAGTGGCTTTGTCTTCTGGGAACTGGCCAAGGAAGCCTACCTTTGGCGGATTCTTGTCTGCTGTCTTTGTAAAGTTCTAATGGATTGTGTTTGGGTATCTACTTCAAATACTCGACTGATCCCTTTACGACTATGACGAGATGTTATTTCACAATGACAAGGGATCCTATTGTGACCAGATGCATTAAACCCTTCTGGGTCTCTTTATCAGAATCATAGTTCTAAATGTTTTTTTGGACTTTGGGGTATCCAGCTGGGTCCCCAGAAATATCAAAGGATGAATCTCTCATCTTGCAGAGGCAATAGCTAATTAGGAAATTCAGATTTGTATGGAAAACATTGTCAGGTTATAAAATGCTGGCAAGCTCCTAACTGCTGGGCCATACTGACAACTAAAAGACTGAGAGGACGTTCAAAGCTCTTGGGGGCTTCCCTTCCCATCCCAGAAGCCTTCAGGAGCTTTTAAAAATGCAACTGTCTTTCCTACCCATTGCTGGCTTTCCTAACTTTAGCCATGGCTACTAGAAGCCTTTGGTCATCCACAGTTCCAATTTTTTTCTCTGAAGACATTACAATCAGATTCCTGGAGAAGACTCCAACAGATGTTCTCAAGTAATAAAGTTTGTGAATGCCTTAAGATCAATGGAAGAGATAAAAAAAAAATTGTCCGGAACTGGGAGAAACAACAACAATGCCAGAAAATCTATAAAATGACAAACGGAGAATAAGCCAGGAATCGGTTCCATGAGACTTGAGTTCATGGAAATCTGTGGATGTCTATATCTTTCATTTAAAATATCATTGCTTGCATGTGTAAATGCTGCATCCTCAAGACCCAGGAAATTGTTCGTGGTTTCTATGGGTTACGGAAGTGTCTGCCATTGCTCCCTAATTAACTTCTCTGATACCCAAAAACATTTTCTGAAGTTTTGGGTTTTGTTTGTTTATTTGTTGCATTTCATGACAGTAAGGATCTGTTCTTGTCGGGAAAGGAAATAATTGGGATTACTGGACTATCTAAGAGTCACACACAGAATGCCTGGCTTCAGGAGCTGCTGGGACTGTAGTAAGTGGGGTTGTCACTTCTTAGTAAGCCCTGAAATAAACAAGAGATTGGACACAGTAGTTTTTAAATCATCAAAGCCTGCGTTGGATTGACTGTTTGACTTCAAGAATTTTCCAAATCTGAAATTACATGTCTTCTGTTAGATTCTAACCCTGTTTGGTGACTTAACGACGCAAACTTAAAGGAGCCAGTGTTGTGGCATAGCAAGTTAAGTCTCCACCTGCGATGCTGCCATGCCAGATGGGTACCAGTTTGTGTTCTGGCTGCTCTCCGACCCAGCTGCCTGCTGATGAGCCTGGGAAAGCAACAGGTCCCTGTCATCCACATGGGGGACCTGGAAGAAGCTCCTGGCTCCTGAGTTTGGTCTGGACCAACCCTGATCATTATAGCCACTTGGGGAGTGAACCATTAGATAAAAGCTTCATTCTGTGTGTGTGTGTGTGTGAGAGAGAGAGAGAGAGAGAGAGAGAGAGACTCTGCCTTTCAAATAATAATTTTTAAAATTTTAAAAAGGCAAAAATTTTTTTTCCTGAACTTTGTGCCTGTCAGAATTCTCCAGAAACATTCTGCATGCTTGCAACACAGATAAGGGTGATTTTCACAACGGACTCCAGGCCAAAGTCAGTCTGAGAACCACTTCATCTAAAGCCGCTGAGCTGCTCCAGGAATCCTGGTTATCAAATACTTCACTCTCAATGTAAGCCCAGATCCTCAGCCAGGTCAAGTCCTAACTACAACAGGGCACGAACAGAATCTGCCTGCAAATGAAGTGAAATCTGCGTACGAGAAAGTCACCTGCATGCCTGCATTTATAACAGCACAAGCCGCAATAGCAAAGGCATGGATACAACCAAGAGGCCGTCAGAAGAGGAACACAGCGCATCTACAACATGGTATATTACGCAGCTGTTAAAAAGAATGAGATGCGGAATGTTAACCCTGTAACTGTTGCTGAGGGACTACACTGTTGTGATAATATGGGGGAAAACGGAGGAGGAGGAAGCAGAAGGGAGAATCCCTATATGTACAAAACTGTATCGTGGAAAATAATAACAACAGTTTAAAAATTTTAAATCTTAGACACAAAATAAATAGTAAGAAAAGAAAGGAGGAAAGAAAAGAGAAAGAAAGAAGAAGGAAAGGAGAATCAAGATGGCAGACGAGGGTAACGACACCTTTAAACAGACGCAGATATTAGCCAGTCTGAAGCAGAGAGGGCACATTCCAGGAAGTAGGAGAGGACAGAACAACAGCACAGGGGTACCTGCAGACTGACAGACACAGGCAAGCAGCGGACACAACGGTGCGGTGTGGCAGTGACTGACACCGGCGGCGGCATTCAGCTAACGGGGATCTGAACTCCACCGGCAACCGGAACTCCACCACAAGGAAAATAATCCCGACTACGGCACTGTACCGGACGAAATACGTCCGTGTGGCTCTCAGACCTAAGGGCCAACAGGTTCCGGCAAGATCAGCACCAACAACAACCCAGCTATATAAGACACCTGCTGTCTCCCTAATCCTGGGACCTGCTCCAACTGAGAGTGGGAGAAAGGTTGTACAGACAACGGTGCAGCTTCAGCACAGTATCACAGGAGGTAGAGACGGGTGAGGCAGGAGCTGGGGCTAAGAAGACCATGGTGGAAATCTAGCATAAGAACCCAGACCTGGAACTCGCTGGAGGGAGTGGCACAATTGGCTACAAAGAGCCGCGTACCAATTGCAATAAGTAAAACTGAAATGTAGGCCTGTGGGTGGCACAGCTTAGAAACCTACCCCAAGGAGAAGAATCTGATAACCAGAAGTACAATGACCAAGAGCAAAAGAAGAGACAAAGGCACAATGAATATTACAGAAGGGAGCAAAACCTTTGTCGACCCAGAGTTCACTGAGGAAAACATCAAGAAAATGGGGGGATACAGAATTCAAAACGCTTGTTATAAAGCTTAAAGCAAGCATTCAAGGAATTCAAGGAATGTCACAATGGAAATGAATCAATTGAAAGCTGATATATCAGAAATGAAAACTACAGTGGAGCAAATTAAAAGTGCAGTGGAGAGTCTCCAAAATAGAATGAAGGAGGCAGAAGAAAGAATCTCAAAATTAGAAGATATTTCCTGTCGCCAGGGGGAAACAAGCAAAAAGCTGGAAGCAGAGCTGGGTCAGGCCCACGCTGGCACAGCAAGGACCCCTCCCACACCTTTTTCTGATTGCTGCTTTCTGTGTAACCACTATGGTGAGTGGGGGGCCCTGGGAAGGGGGCACTCTGCACAGTATGGGGTGATTCTGTCTCTTTCCCTCTCTGTCTCTCTTTGGGTCCCAGTAAAGAAGGTGAGACTAGCTCCCTGAGATCCACAGGTTTGCAGGGCCCTTGGGGGAGCCTGCTGCAAAATTCTGCTTCAAAGTCCTTTACTCAGACTCCCTTCCAGGACCTTCCAGTGCTCACCCATATCCTGCCCAACCCACAGGAGCTGGCTTATGGGAGAAGGTGGCCCTCCTGGGCTCCATGCCTGGCCCCACCCACTCTGGCCTAGCCTGCCTTACTTGCAGAGCACAGCGTCTTCATCCGGCAGGGCCTCGTAGACACACGGGTCATTTTCTTCCTCATCTCCCGTAGTCACCATTACGACACCCAGCAAAAGGGCTGCTGTGGCCAGCCTCATCGCCCACTCCATGGACACCTGGAGCAGAAACAGAGTCTTCAGAGCAGCTGGGACCTCAAGAAGGGGCTCTCTCACCCCTCTGCCCCTCGCCTGTCCCCCACCTCCAAGACCCACCTTGCAACTCAGAGCGAGGAAGGAGGACAGGTGATGCCTGGACCGCGCAGCTAATTTGCTACCTGGAGCTGGACATTGGGAAACCCTGGGTCTCCTCCCAGCTGGACTCAATTTGCAGGCTCCTCCCCTGGCAGGGCATGGCTTTGCTGTCCCTCTTTGCCCTGGCTACCACAGCAGAGAGCAGGCTGCAAGCCAGAAGCTGTGTTGGAAGCCTGTCCGTGTGTTTGCTCTCGGTGTGGGTGGCCAGTGGACCGGGTGTGTGGGGGTGGGGGGAGTAGAGAACAGTTTGCTCCTGGGGCTTTAAAGTCACCCTAGCAAGAAACTGGTGACCCCAGGCTTACAGCTGAGCAGGTCTTCAGACAGGCTCTCGGTCCTGTTTTTCCACCCCAGGTCTCAATAGCCTTTAGGTTGCCCAGGAGCGGACGTGGCTAGACAAGGCCACCCTGTATAAGAGGGGGGCAAGTCGAGGCCAGCTGGGAGGGGCCGGCTGAGGACAGACGTCTGCACGTGGCAGCTGTGCTGAACTCATCATTCTCCCAAATAAGAGTTTATGGAGAAGGAGGAGGCTTATAGAGCTGGGGGGTCGTCCCACACCATGCCGGAAGAAAGCGGGGCTCCCTGGAGGGGCCGGCAGGTGCCTGTGGTCTCCTCTGGGAACAGCCCTGCAGCAGGACATAGCCAAGATCAAAGATGTCCTCTGAAGCCATCCCAGAGGTCGGGAGGGGCTGGTGCTCCACCTCAGACCGCTCAGAGCTTCCTGCTCCCAGCTCTGCAGGGCCATCAGGGGAATGGGGGCTCATGGAGACATGTGGCCTTCCTGGGGCCTCACTCGGGAGGCCGAGAGCACAGCAGCAAAGCTCAGGCAGCCACAGCATCAGAGCGACAATCTTCCGGGCACCCTGTTCTCTGGCTCCATCCCTGCCTCTCCCAACCTCCATCCTACCCAGCCTCCTACAAGGTTACAGGTTAACACACGTCCCTGTCAGCAGGTTCCCTGCCCTGTGCCCAGCTTGTGCCATAGAGAACTTCCTTCCTACGTCTGCCATCTTTTTGGAAAGTATCTATAAGTAGCTCGCCAGCAACAGCACCAGGGGGATAATATGAAACGGACGTCATGAGGCACTCAGCAAGGCTCCAAGTAACTGCCACAGGTTCACCACAGGCCCTGAGCACCTTGCCCCGTGCCTAGCCTCATGCAGGATCCCAAGGGCATGCGTGCAGCAGGGTCCCAGTCCCTCATGCAGCCAATAGGACAGCCAGAACCTGAGCCAGACATTGCCAGGATGTTCATCCGAGGTTGGGAGTCTCATGGCTTCTAAGCAGCAGCTTGTAAAGAAGCCAAGGGCTCTTAGCAGAGACCCCTGTGACTGCCTAGAAGAGGCCGGGGGTGAGGTAGGGGCTCAGCACCCACGCTGCAGGGTCATACCTACAGGGCACAGGGTGAAATAAAATTACAGGAGCTGGTTCTTGCCATGGTCAAATGCCAGGCAGCAAATCCCCACAGCGTGAAGCTAAGTCAGGCGGAGTTTGTAATTCTATCTGGACTTGTACAGGCAGGCAGAGCACAGCAACCCCAATTTCAACTCTATAACTGCAGCCCTCTCAAAGATGGGGTCATAATTTTTTTTTTCAGATGGTGTCATAATCTTGTGGCAAGCTTGGTACCAGGCTGACCTGAGACCTCAGCCAAACAAAACTTTGTCGCTACTTAAGAGAGCTGCCATGTCCTCCTGTGACAAAGTCAAGCCACCAGGCATGCTTCCCAGGGAACTGTGCTGACATCCAAGACAGCCGGCTACCAGACTCTTTAAACGACTTTGCACTTGGGGCTCAGCAGCCTGGCCTCCTTCAGCACCTCCTTAAAAATCAGAGGCCATCTCCGCCTAGCGAGATTGTAATTCCCCAGCTTGCCCATCAGACCACATCTCCGTTCTTTTGACTTGGCACCAGGGACAGCAGCTGTGAAGCCCCTAACTCCAGTCAGAGTCCCATGCCCACCCTTTGAATAGGTCCTGCACTCACCCATTTTACAGAGCAAGAGAGTGATGCACGGAGCAGTGTGCTAACTTGTGCCAACAAGCGACAGGCTGTGGCTGCAGAGAGCATGCACCCAAGCCACCGCTCCACTGCCCCCACCACTGTTCTGGCTCATTCTCCCTGTTCCCCTTGCTCTTGGGATGAGGCTTGGGACCTTCCAGGTGGCCCACAGTGCCCTGCACGATCAGGCTCTCTCTCCCTCTTTAAGCCACGTCCTTGCTCTCTGACCGCTCGGGCATGAACTCCAACTAGCCCCTCAAGCCCCTTCTGGTGCCTTCCTACTCTTTTTCTTCTTCCTCGCTCAAGTTTGTAAAGAAATCGCTGTTGCTATTTGCTTTGCGATGCTCTCCATCGGCATGCACATGCACGCAGGTGCATCCTGAGAAGCTGGGAGGGGCCAGCACCACGGTGGGTCCAGCATTCCTCGCATCCCATCTGTAGCAGCACCTGTAGCTGCTGACTGAAATTCCCGCCTGTGTGCGTGGTGAGCTGCCTTTGCTTCTATTCCTGATCCTCCTTGTTTTCACCGAATGGCTCTCAACCCTCTGCAAACTAGTAGAAACCTTGCTACTTAACCTGGGTCTCCTTGCACTGATTTCTGGAACCTTCTCCATCTTGTTTCTGTACAGAAAGACCTGATGGGGTGCAGGGCTTCTTGACCAGTCTTTCAAATCTGATCTTGTCCCTTCGCCCAACAGCTGAGGCAGCCTCACCCCTACTGTTTCACTGCCCCCAAACGTGCTTCAGTTTTTCATAGATAGGAGTCTCTTCTCTGCAGCTCCACTAGGCCTTGCCCTGGTGGGGGCTTCTGCAGCAGCTCGAACCCCTCATTTCCGCTTGGCAACAATAGCATAGGCTCCTCACGGTGACTCCATTCCTGTGGTTGATCTCTGTTTGGGCTCTCAATTTGCCCAGAGCATCCTTTGAACTCTAGCTGGAGGCCTCCATGGCTCTGCTCGTCTTTGTCCAGGAGGCTACTTCCCAAAGCTGCATGCTAATGTCTGTGGTTCCCCCACTCCCCCAGCCGGCCCAGCACACTGCAGCGTTCCCTGCTGGCGTGGCTCATGTGGCTGGCGCCTGCACTTTTTGTGGAGTCCCCTAAACAACACTATTCTTGTACTTTACAACGCATTGCTCCACGCACAGTTCCAACCCCACAGCGCGACTCTGGTTTCCCAATTTTCCTTTGAAATCTTGGTGGAAGCTTCTATGATGCCCCCCGCCCCAATACACAACACTTGCAGCCTACATCCCTGCAATGCCAGCGCCATATGGACAAGGCCAAGGCCAGCCATCAACAGAAAATGGGCCTGGACCCTGCAGGCATCAGCCTCAAAGATGTCTGAAACACCTTCAGGCTTCTTCTTCCACTCCTTTGTATATTGGCGTGTGTCTCCCTTTATCTTGCACTAATTATGTCAGCAAGTAGAGCTTTCTAATCTTGAACATGCCTGTCTCTGTCCATTCCTTGTCTGGCCAGGCTGAGAATCTTCCAAACTGTTCTGCCCTGATTTTTTACTCCCACTGTAAAACTAGCAGCCGGTAATAACACCATGTTGCACCCTGAATGCTTTGCTGCCTTTTTTAAAAGGTAGAGATAGAGAGACAGAGACAGAGAGATCTCCATCTGCTGATTCACTCCCCAGATAACTGCAATGGCCAGTACTGAGAGCTGCATCCGGGTCTCCCACGGGGGATAGGGTCCCAAGCACTTGGGCCATCTTCTGCGTCCTTTCCCAGACTACAGAAGCAAGGAACTGGATCAGAGTGGAACAGCTGGGACAGGAACTGATGCCCACATGGGATACATCCTGGTGATGCAGGAAGAGACTTAACCAGCTATGCTACAACATTAGCCCTGTTTTGCTACCTTGAAATTTCCAAAAATTACCTTGAAACAAACCAATCCACCATTTTCAATCCAACTCCCTGCCAATGTTCCTAGAGAAACAGCAGAGGATGGTCCAAGCTGCATCTACTTGGGAGGCCCCGAATAAACTCCTGGCTCCTAGTTTTGGGCAGGCCCAGTTCCAGCCATTGTGGCCATCTGGAAAGTGAATCAGCAGATGCAAGATCTCGCTCTCTCTCTCTCTCTCTCTCTGTTTGTGTGTGTGCATCTTTCTGTAAATCTGCCTTTCAAATAAAAATAACTAAATCTTTTTAAAAACTGACATTTCAGTCAGCGATAGGAAAATCTATATTTTTCCTTTCTTAAATATTTATTTATTTAGCTATTTATTTGGTTGGTTGTTTGAGTTACAGAGAGGGGGAGAGAGAGAGAGAAAGAGAGGGAGGGAGAGAGAGAGAAATATTCTACCTGCTGATTCACTCCTCAAATAATTGCAACAGTCAGGGCTGGGTCAGGAGCCTCATCAACACAGGCCCAGGCACTCGAGTCACCTTCTGCTGCTTTCCCAGGTATGCCAGCAGGGAGCTGGATTGGAAATGGAGCAACTGGGACATGAACCAGCACCTATATGAATGTCAGCATCGCAGGCAGTAGCTTAACCCACTACATCACGATGCTGACATAGCTTCAAGTGCACATGGACTATTCTAATGACAGATGATATGTTAGGGCACAAGACAAGTGTTGATAAATGTTAAAGGTTTAGGTCACATTGTGGGGGAGCAAAATGGGACGAAACTAGAAATCTCTATCAGGAGACAACAGGGAAAATCACAAACATGTGGAAATTGAATAATACATCCTGAAACAGGTCGAAGAAGAAATTAGGGAATAACTTGGGAGACATGAAAATAAACATGCAGTATATCAAGACACATGAGATGCTGTGAAAACTTTACAGTCATACAACTGTGGATGCTGAAAATGTTTACATTTAAAAAGATGGAAGAGCTCA